AATCAAGGGCCATAACTCTGAGTTAAAGTGTCTGACCGGAACAAGCCCACGATATGCGCATCTCCTCTTGGTATTGAATGTTCTCATAAAGTTTCGTTGAATTCCAGCCAGCAGTTGCAGAGAAGTAGCGCAGAAACGATTTTTACTCCATATGCATACTGCATAACTAATCAAGGGCTATAACTCTGAGTTAAAGTGTCTGACCGGAACAAGCTGACGATATGCGCATCTCCTCTTGGTATTGATGATTCCCATAAAGTTGTGTTGAATTCCAGCCAGTAGTTGCAGAGAACTACTCCGGAAACGATTTTTACTCTATATACATACTACATAACTAATCAAGGGCCATAACTCTAAGTTAAAGGGTCGGACCGGAACAAGCTGACGATATGCGCATCTCCTCTTGATATTTATGATTCCCATAAAGTTTCGTTGAATTCCAGCCAGTAGTTGCAGAGAACTACTCCGGAAACGAAATTCGGACGGACGGACGGACGAACGGACTTACGGACGGACAACGCCAAAACTATATCCCCCTCCGGATTCCATCGGCGGGGGATAATAAAGCTGTATTATTTTTACACTTATTTACTATAATCCGGTGCTCTGTCTATGTTCTCATAGACGAACAAGAGTATATTTATACCTACATTTTACAACGAGTATAATAACTTGTTTCAAGGAAAGTTAAGAATAAGAATGACATTATTATCATCTATGGTAGCCAACTAAAATGAGTCTCTGTTGTAATAAAATCTGATAGCATTGAAATCATAAAAGTGTTTAGTAAATTAATGTGTTTTAGATGATGACAATAATGAACTAATGAGTGTAAATAGCATAGTCCAATGTACCTATTTATATCAAATGTGCGACATTATGATTTTAAAACATACTTGTTTGTTACTCATATGCATTCAACCAGTCATTTTACAAAAGAATCTTATATGTGGGCGTTATTTGTTTTTGTCTACTGAATTATCTTTTAATAACTTTTATACGATAAATTGATTTTTCTGCAAAACAGACTTTTCTCCAATTCAGAAACAAACATACAACATTTGTTAGTTTTAACTATTTTTAAGAAAGACCAAAATTTATAAACAAAAAATTGTATACAGTGTTGTATTGGTTTATACAAGAGTTGTACCATTCTAAATTGTATTCCTTGTTCTGTATTGTGTTGGAAAGAAAACAAAAATAAGAGAGTCCTCTGAATTTTGTGTTGACACTTCATTGCGATATACATATGAAGCTCTGCTGTGTTACTGATCTTCATATAGCCTACATTTAGGGGTGTATTTTCTAATTCGTATTTAAGCAATTGTTTCCCTAGAAAGCAAATAACATATGTTAGTACAATACCCTCTATTCAACAGTTCCTTCAGATCGAACAAAGATAAACTGGATAAAAAATATAAAAAACGAACTTCAAGAAATAGATGACACGAAAGTTGTAATTAAAAAAAACAAAAACGATATATTTTCTCAAACTTTACCTTTGCATCACTTGTGTAATGGTGCAACCAATTTTGTATAAAAAATGGTTTATGTTTTATCTTAACACTGTGTGGGATTGACCTCACTTGAACCTCTTGTTATCATGATCAAATGTATTTCTATAAACAGAGGAAAATTCCTTATCTCTGGAAAACCGACTTTGTTTTAGGTGCAATGCAATATGGCTTGATAGAGATTTGAGCTTTTATTATTGTAAAAAGTACAAAGATTTCGTGTTCTAACATAATTATATCAAGTGATGCACTTAAAATGGAAAATTCTGCAAAATGTAATACAGAAATATACTCAGAGTTAGATTGTAAAAAGGTTTAAGTTTGATTCTAAGCCCGGTTTCACTATTGGTCCATTTTGCAAAATAAGATAATCATCCTTGATTTAAAGGAATGCAGACACGCTACATCAAATGGTACACAAATCTCTAAAATATATTTCCAGTCCCTTCATGTCAAAAAATCTCAGTGGAGTCCCTTTAACGCATAGTTTCAATGAAACACAACTTTCTTACTATAATAGATACACAGGAAACCGGATATTGTAATAAGATAAATGATATTGCCTTGCATAATTGGTTATCGAATCAGCATGAATCGTTCAGAACGTCTTTGTTAGTTACTCTTTCTACTAACTTAACTTCAATATATATCAGAGTCCTTGAAGTGTTCTTGTAAATTGGAGGTCATTAATAAAAGGGTCAGACAAGATTTTTGAACCATCCTCGAAAACGGAAAATAAAATCATAGATAAACTAAACAAAAGAACGTTGTGTACACGGATAAAACCAGACTGTACATCAAGCATGCAAGAATTTATGACATTGTTATCTATTATTATCTCGCCATATCTCTTATAATTATGTATTTATCTGACACCTTACCACATTTTCTCGTACAATTACTTAATTCCCTACAATACTTAACCCAATAAGATAGAAAAATGATAATAAAAGGTCACTGTACTTGCTGGTTTGACTTTAAAACTGAAGAAAGAGCACAAATCCATAAAATTTGCTATAGTAATCCAAGTAAAGATTATAATATATTTTATTATAGTTACATTTCTGAAATTTAGCATTTAAACGAGTATCATCTCTTTTCCTGCATAGTTGTAACTGCATGTTTTCTTATATTTGATTAATAGAACAAATATGATAGTTTGTAATCGTAATATGTAACACAATAGTAACCAATCAATTGGAACGCAAACATTTAATGGACAATAACAGGAGACTGAGGTCAATGCAATATTTGTGACTGACTGGAAGATTAATATAATGATGCTCTGTATACTCTTTCTTAAATTTGATTTCTATTTTCTAAGTAAATCATTAATACGTTCAGACATAAATATACTCTCATGTTGATTTATAAACAACAGTTACATAAGCCTTGGTACCCTTAATGAGTGATATTTTACAGATTTGCTCACATTGTTTGATATAATTTGTTACAATAGCACTTTTAAAGATCCCGTAACACATTTCTTTACGTTTTTATATCAATGAAATAATGTTCAAATGAAGATTTATTAATATTGTAAGTTCCAAAAAGCATTACTTGTAAAGATATTACCGAATTTACATTTCATATTAATAAAGGGAGGTAATTGGAAATTTATTTTCTATCAAGTCTTAGTCAAATAAACGCAAATATTTTAATGATAAAATAAAGATAAAATTGTAAAGACTTCGATGAAATTACGATTTATAAATAATGATTTAAAAAACCTAACAAAAAATTCATTTGTCATATTTACGACAGAATAGGGGGAGCACCCCAAAGGCAATGGAACAAAAAAAAAGAATATTAATTGCAGACTGAATTAGAATGAGTTTGTCGAAGAGAGATAGTGAAAAAGTACAAATTCTTACGCCTTAAACAATGAAAGAATAATACCACTTCAAATCTACACTTATTCAACACAAGCCACCTGCTACTGTCTTCGTAAACAAACACGGCCTTATTTAAAATCTCATCATCTTGGGAAAAATCATTTTCATTCATTAGTGAGGTGTGTCTGCTGTGAAAATATATTTTTTTAAACTTTGATTGAATTTTATCATTTTAGGTTTATTAAAATAAGTGAACTGGTCTGTGATGGGAGGTATGTACATAATATATAGCATAAATAATTATATATAGTATTTAGTATCAAACTTGACAACAAAACCACTGAAGAATTATAGAACAGAACAGAATTTTATTTTATTTTGACTTTTTGAGTCTGCAATTCTTATGTTATTTTGTTGTGATTAATGCTTCCGAGGGATCACTTTGTTTCCAGAATTTTGTACATAATCATAATCATATATAGTGGATGTCGTTGATAAAGATCAGGTACATGATTTGATATTACAATGTATATATGGCAGATAATAAATTGTTATGAAAGATTTGATTTATTTCTCATCATATAAATGTTAATATTTATAAATGTTAATATTAAATCTTTTATTTTCCAAAAAACATTATATTAGAATATCCAAACTATACACTTTCTATTGTTATTAATAAGAATATAGAAAACAATTTTGAGTGCAGTTGTATAGAATTATGCACGGTTCGAGTTAAAATGCGCAGGAATATAATCACGACGGCCGATGGGCCTGAATGATGAATTATAAAGCAAAGCATTTTAACGATAAACCGTGCATTATTGTACTATTATGCAAGAAAACAATAATATCTATATATTGATTAAAACATCAGACAATTTATCATTTCGAATTTTTTTTTTCAAATATATATTATAGATAGAAAATTACATTTTTTTAAAATTTAGACAAGATTATTATTATTGTTATGAGTAAATGTGAAAATTGTAGATATTGACCAAGAAAAATATTTAAGAGATAGAATAAAAGGTTCGGCGCGGACAGAAAGAAGGTAGCATTTAGGTCATTACCATGTACTTTCTCTCAGTAACTGAGCACCCTAGGCATGCTCTGTTTTTTGTTATTTTTGTAATTTGGAATTTGACCCCCCCCCCACCCAAAATCATGTTCCTCAAAAGTTTTTCAACATCCTCTGTGCTCCACCTCACTGCTATTTTCACACTTTCGACCTTATTTTTCATTCGTTACACTGTTATCAGGTGATAATTTGGAAATCTATCACTTGTGATCTTGGGAGGTCTGTACAACAAGAAATACAAAATAGAACATATCCTATCATGTTAATCTAGTACTAAATTTTATTAATTTAAGTCGTGTTGTAATTCTGGATCATATCGTCTGATGACACTGTTTTCGCGTAAAATGTTTTATCATCATATTCAAAGATCATACAAAGTCTAAATGAACCAATCATTCAACTTGTATTCTTCCAAATGTGCCTATGCGTAACTGTTGCGTATGCCTTTAAATAATATTTTCGCGTGTTTTAATACGGAAAAATGATTGAATATTTAAAATCATTCATTCAAAAATCCTGCAAGGCAGTGACTTACAAATTACAAGAGGTTATTCACAAACGTGTGTAACAGGGTCATCTTTTCGTGCTTTAAATACAGTTGGGTTGATTCCAGTTACTTCCCTTGGATTATTATTTTTAATTGTATTTTTAACCAATCAGATGATCGCTTTGTATTTCCCTCCAAATGTGTTTAGTTTGATGATTTTTGCGGGAGTTGAAAAGTATTTTCAATAGAGAATAATTGGGCTTATGATTTGTTTTATTTGTTTTAAGGATTTGGAATAAGTATTATGGTATATTTTAAAGTTTATTGTTCGGCAATAACTTCTGTATTTCATGTAAACAGTGTATATTTATTTGAGAAGTAAATTCATGATTTTCATGTATTTAGAACTGAGTAAAGAATTGAGATGGTTCAGAAATAGCATTCCTTTTTAACATCACTTAACTCTTTCTGTCATGCACATTGTTCTTAATAATACGCATCCTTTATTTGATAATTTTCAGCACCCAGTCACTGTGTGAGTGAAGTGTTTGTTGATTGGAGTAAAGTTAACTAGATGGTTTGATATTGTTTAGAGCATACAATTCCACAAATTGGTAAGTCATCATTATATATTATAATTGTGTATTATTATGTGTAAGTTATTGCTGTAACTTTTAACTGACCATTTATTGTATGTATGTAATGTAACTGTAATATATTTTAATGTAACTTGATATTATTGTTAAGGGTTAAGATAAAGCCACTAGAACCACTTAATAACAAGTATCATATGTGAACTATTGATCATTATGATTTAATGTGTTTTTAACATTATATATTGTGAATTAGAGGAAGATAACCCTGTAAAGATGAGACATTAAGTGAATAGGCATTTAGTGACATTTTGTATGTTTTCAGTGTGCTGGACTTGTTAACTAGGTACTCTAGTTGACTGTGATAGTGTAATGTGAAACAGAGTGCAGGAACAGTGATATAATGGTTTGAGACATTTTAAGAGGATACAGTGATTATTTATATTTATTTGTTTATCAACATAATAACACAGTGAACTATTAATAAATCTATATGTGAACCCAAGCCTATTTGGATTTGTAATCTTTTATTTAGATACAAAGTAACCAAAGGTAACATTTGGCGCCCAACGGGGGACCGGGTGCATAACAAGACTATGAGGACATTTATAGTAAATAATCACTTCGAATTATGATCATTTTTCATTAATTTAGTACTGAACAAAATAGTGAAGAACTATATTTACAATCTGTGTTACATTAAACTTTTGTACTATGAATTAAGTAAACTTTGATGAAAGAACCTGAATATACCTTGAAGGACTGAAGTAAGATCTTTAAAGTTTCATTAAAGATTTATAATTATTGTCAAACTACATTTATTGTGAAATCAAATACCAAGTTTGACAGTGTCATCAACATATATGTATGAGATAGATCTACTTTACACCTTGCTGTTTTTAGAAGGAAGTAATTTCAACTGAACATCAGAGGAGGAGCATTTTCACTTGTGTAGACAGTCTACTCAGGAGTCAACAGTGTATCTGACAGTTATTGGTGCATGAATTATGTGTGGTTTATAAAGGTGTGGTCTAGTGGCTTGTAACAACTTGGTTGTAAGTAAAAGAAAATATTGTAAACTTGTTCAGAAATTGCAGTGATCCACAGTGAATATACATATTGATTAAATTACTTATAGTTATTCACTGTAAATAATTGCTGCAATTCCTGACATGATTATGTGATTATTCTATGTGGTATGAAATACATATGTAAGCCCGAGTGAGATTCACCATTGCATGTTTAAAATTAATTGGTAATAGTATTCTATTTCACCAAAGTTCTACTGTCTGTATACCCTAGCACCACCTTATAGCCTTAACTCCAAATATATTTAATATTTAACACAAAAAGGCTATTTAAGAACCATCTCAAGTCTATAAATTTTTATCAAAAATGTAAACAAACATTGACCTAGATTTTGACCTCTTGTTGCATTGAACTGGTGCAAAATATCAGAAGTTATTTACTTTCCTAAGTGATCAATCATTAAAAGAAATATTGGTTCTTGTTGTCCGAGTTAATTTCTAGAGGAATAATAATTTCATTTGTCTATTAATTTCGAACCATAAAGGTGGCCTTAAACTGTTTGTGTGTTGTTTATTTTCCTGCCATTTACATGTGTGTTTATTTTCATTAAAAGGTCAAGGAAGAGTATTTTCCCAAAATCTATACTATAAGATAATTGGTTCTACTGATATTGGAATTTCCATGACGTCATTGACTACCTGACTGATATGTGACTGAATCACATGACATTATAGTTTAGTAACTATTTTAGTTACAGGTGTAGTCTATAATTAGGATAGTATATAGATTATCAGGCTTGTGTGTGCACTGACAACTGTGACACTTTGAGCGAAATTGTATACAAAACTAAGTGAAAAAAATTAATTGACAAGTAATTTTTTAAAATTAAATAATTAATTAATGTAAAATTATAGTAAACTGTAAAACTTAAAAGAAAGTATTTATTTAACAGATATAAATAAATATAAATCAACAAATAAAATATAAAGTACTCCCTGCTAAGTGAAATAATTTTGTACTGAATTGTTTGCAAAAAAAGGATTTTGTGAATAATTCTTAAATAATTACATTTATATTTACAAAAATAAAGTTTTTTGTAAATAAGTTTAAATAAATAACGTTTCGTTTGAGAAAGTAGCTACTTAGTAGCTCGACTTTGTTTATTTCTTGTTACACCAGATACTGATTATTCATATAGAACTCCTGTCATAATTGGTACAAACATACTGCAAGAATTACTTAAAGAATGCCAGAGCAACTTCGGTGATAAATTTCTTCAAGAAGCAGATCTACACACAACATGGTACTTGTCATTCAGATGTTTGGTTATTCGAGAAAGGGAATTAAAACGAAACAAAAATAGGTTAGCTGTACTTAGAAGCGCAATGCCAGGAAAGGTTACAATTAGACCAAATGAATCTGTTCATATTACATGCTATACTGATAAAGAACTTGAATTTCAACCGACTACAGCAATAATACAAGAATGTGAAGACAGTAGCTTACCATCCTACTTAGACATTACACCAGCAGTAACACATTATGAACATGGGAAAAACAAGTCTATCACAGTCAACGTTTCAAATCTGACAATGAACACTTGTACTATTTCTTCAAGAGCAATAATCTGTGAGTTACAACCCGTGTCAGTTGATCAAGAAGTATTTGATAAGATTGAAGGAAAAGGAACATACGATTCTATCATAAATGATTTACACATAGATGACGGTAACCAGCTAACACCAAAAGAAACTCAACAAATTAAAGATGTCCTAAATAAACATAAAGCTATTTTTTCAACAGGCGATACTGATATTGGCAGTTGTAATAAAATTAAACATAGGATAGATTTACTTGACGAAACACCTTTCAAACAACGACACAGGAGAATTCCACCAATGATGATAGACGAAATTAGAAACCACCTGGAACAATTACTCGCAGCGGGAATTATAAGAAAGTCAAGGTCACCATGGTGTTCTAATGTAGTATTAGTCAGAAAGAAAAATGGGAAATTAAGAATGTGTGTTGATTACAGAATGTTGAACAACAAGAGTGTTAAGGATTCATACGCATTACCTCGGATTGAAGAAGTTTTTGATGTTTTAAAAGGAAGCAAATATTTTAGTACAATTGATCAAAAGGCAGGATATCACCAAGTAGAAATAGAAGAAACTCACAAGGAGAGGACAGCCTTTACTGTAGGACCACTTGGATTTTTCGAATATGTTAAAATGCCGTTCGGACTTTCGAATTCGCCAGCCACTTACCAAAGATTGATGGAAGAATGTCTCTGAGACTTAAATATGAAAGTGTGTATCATATATCTGGATGATTTAATTATTTTCAGCAAAACTTTCGAAGAACATCTACAAAATCTAGTTCTAGTACTTAACAAACTTCAAGAATGTAATCTCAAATTATCTCCAGAAAAGTGCTTCTTTATTCAACAGAAAGTGAACTTCTTAGGATATGTTGTAAGCGAACAAGGCATCGAGACTGATCCAACCAAGATAGAGAAAATAAAAAACTGGCCTACGCCAAAGAATGCTGATGAACTTCGATCTTTTCTAGCATTTGCCTCATACTACCGTCGTTTCATTAAAGGATTCTAACAAATTACACGACCACTATCAGAACTTCTTCCGCCAACTTCACCAAAAAAATCTAAAAAGGCTACAAAAGAATGGATATGGACAGATAAAGAACAAGAAATTTTTGATCAACTGAAAATAACTTTATCATCTCCATCAATACTTGCATACCCCGATTTTGAGTTACCGTTTGAGCTGCATACAGATGCATCGACGAAAGCACTTGGCAGTGTACTTTATCAAATACAAGATAATGTCAAGAGAGTTATCGCCTACGCTAGTCGCTCACTTACAAAATCAGAGAGAAATTACTCCGCATTCAAGCTAGAATTCTTAGCTCTTAAATGGGCTGTCACAGAAAAGTTTGCCGACTACTTAGCATTGAAACACTTCACAGTGGTGACAGATAACAATCCTCTCACACATGTATTGACATCGGCTAAGCTGGACGCAACAGGTCAACGATGGACTTCAGCTTTAGGAGAGTTTGATTTCGACATAGTGTATAGACCAGGAGTTAATAATGCAGACGCTGATGGAATGTCACGATATCCATATCAACAGATTGTTCAAGATAATGGAAAGGAAATGATAAAACTAATGTGATAAAAACAATATGCAGTAGTATAATTCCACCGCCATACTTTGAAACTCTACCAACTGATATAGACATAATTGATGCAACTGAAAATCCAAGCCAACCCATGGCACAGATAGAATTTCGAGAAATCAGACGAAATCAAAGACAAGATCGAATAATAGAGAAATGGCGTCGCGCTGTTATTGATAAAAAGCTACCACCTAAGAGTTGGGACAAAGATGATAGTATTATGAGAAGGAATTATGACAAATTACACTTAAAGAGAGGCATTTTATACAAACATGTGGAGAAAGACAACATCAATCAATTGGTTATACCAAAGTGTTATAGACATGATATATTATCAGGACTTCATGATAACGTAGGTCATCCGGGTAGAGAAAGAACTCTCGCTTTACTTCGTGAAAGATTTTATTGGCCAAGAATGTCTATTGATGTCGACAATTGGGTTTCGAAGTGTAACAGATGTCTCCGAAGAAAAACAAACACCAACACACGTGCACCATTGATCAATATTGAAACAACACACCCACTTGAGATGGTCTGCATGGACTACTTAACACTTGAGCCTGCCAAGGGAGGTATAGCAAACATCCTTGTTATTACAGACCATTTCACGAAATTTGCTATGGCGATACCTACAAAAAATCAAACTGCGAAAACAACTGCAGAAGCATTTTACAACAATTTTATAGTTCATTATGGAATTCCGACATCTATTCATTCTGATCAAGGAGCAAATTTCCAATCTGAAATCATGAAAGAACTCTGTAACATCACCAATATGAAAAAGTCAAGAACTTCAGTCTATACCCAAGGGAAATGGAGCTGGAACATTTAACGAAGTTATTAGACATTTGGGCACCTTAGAAACTTAAAAAATGTTGGAAGAAACATATCCATCTTTGTCTATGCTACAAAAGCAACCAATGAAACTCAAAGATTCCCCATATGAAAAATGTTTTGGGGAGAAAAGAAAAATTCCCAAAAATTTTGCCAATACGAAAAAACAATAAAAAACCCCAACAGAATATATAGATGACTCAAGAAAAATTTTGTACAAAAGACAAATAGAAAAACAAAAAAAGAGAAAGGGAACAAAAGAAATTTTGATAGAAAACCCAAACGGAAAAATTTCAGTGGGAGAAAAGGTTTTGTGAAAATTAGAAAAAAGGAAAACAAAAGACCAAAAAGAAGAAGAGTTTTTTGGTAAGACACCAAAGCAGATATACCAGGTTCAAGGTTAAGTCAGAACATACTGGTATTATAAAGACATTACACAGGAATCATTTGTATCCAGTACAAGAAAACATCAGAAGTGGTCCAGAAGAGTTAAATATGAGAATTGAAAATGTAGAGAGTGTTAATAACAAGGAATTCAGACCGGTACCGAAGAAGAGGATGTCTTCCAACAAAAACACAAAAATAGGAAGTGAAGGACCAAATAAAGGAGAGAGTGAAACAAATGATAAAAGTAAAGGTGACGTCACAAGAGATGAATCAGAGGATTCAGAAGAAACAGATTCGGAGGTTGGGAGCAGTTATGTATTTTATACATGCGGCAATGGGGACGCCCATAATAATCCCAAGAAGAACAGTGATAACAAGAGTTCTATAGAACTAAAACAAAAGAACAACTTAAATGATTCAAAGACAAATGAAGATAGTGACTCTAAAGAAGAAGACCATAGTGATAAGAAGATAGAAGTAGATATTGAGAAAGGTGTGGTGAGTGTTGAAACAGACACTTTACCAGAGGAGGAACCAGATGAAGAACCACAAGAAACATTACATCATGAAACAGATGAAACAACAGAGGAATTAGAGGGTAAAAATGAGCACAATATTGAACATAACAGATATAGACATTGCTGAACCAAGTCATATAGTGGATTCTCATGAGAGTGACATAGAAAATATTGAAATAAAGGAGATAGAGGTGAAGAATGAACAAAATATACAGAATGAGGAACAAAATACACAAGATGATGAACATAGTACACAGAATGATTAACAGAATACACAAAGTGAAACTGAAGAAATACAAGAAACTGAAAATGGAGAGGAAACCTTTCCACCAAAACCTACTCCTAGAAAGTCTAAAAGAGAGAGAAGACAACCAAAATGTTTTGACTCCTATCAAATGAACCGGATGGTGGCTTTGAGACCATATGATTCTAAGCTTCATGCTTTGAACGTACTTATGACATCAGTAGTACTCAATGATGTGGATTCTGAAGTAGCACATAAAGTTGTAGACGCGATCATGAAATGATTTTGAAATGTTATGTCGAAATACGAATTTTGCATTGAAATGTATAAATAAAAATCAAATGTCCTTATTTAAGGCATACATGTGTCTATGTTTTATGATTTCTGAAAATACATAGAATTGCAAGGTTTTTCCAAGGAGGGGAAGTGTGTAACAGGGTCATCTTTTCGTGCTTTAAATACAGTTGGGTTGATTCCAGTTACTTCCCTTGGATTATTATTTTTAATTGTATTTTAACCAATCAGATGATCGCTTTGTATTTCCCTCCAAATGTGTTTAGTTTGATGATTTTTGCGGGAGTTGAAAAGTATTTTCAATAGAGAATAATTGGGCTTATGATTTGTTTTATTTGTTTTAAGGATTTGGAATAAGTATTATGGTATATTTTAAAGTTTATTGTTCGGCAATAACTTCTGTATTTCATGTAAACAGTGTATATTTATTTGAGAAGTAAATTCATGATTTTCATGTATTTAGAATTGAGTAAAGAATTGAGATGGTTCAGAAATAGCATTTCTTTTTAACATCACTTAACTCTTTCTGTCATGCACATTGTTCTTAATAATATGCATCCTTAATTTGATAATTTGCAGCACCCAGTCACTGTGTGAGTGAAGTGTTTGTTGATTGGAGTAAAGTTAACTAGATGGTTTGATATTGTTTAGAGCATACAATTCCACAAATTGGTAAGTCATCATTATATATTATAATTGTGTATTATTATGTGTAAGTTATTGCTGTAACTTTTAACTGACCATTTATTGTATGTATGTAATGTAACTGTAATATATTTTAATGTAACTTGATATTATTGTTAAGGGTTAAGATAAAGCCACTAGAACCACTTAATAACAAGTATCATATGTGAACTATTGATCATTATGATTTAATGTGTTTTTAACATTATATATTGTGAATTAGAGGGAGATAACCCTGTAAAGATGAGACATTAAGTGAATAGGCATTTAGTGACATTTTGTATGTTTTCAGTGTGCTGGACTTGTTAACTAGGTACTCTAGTTGACTGTGATACTGTAATGTGAAACAGAGTGCAGGAACAGTGATATAATGGTTTGAGACATTTTAAGAGGATACAGTGATTATTTATATTTATTTGTTTATCAACATAACACAGTGAACTATTAATAAATCTATATGTGAACCCAAGCCTATTTGGATTTGTAATCTTTTATTTAGATACAAAGTAACCAAAGGTAACACGTGCTTTTAATTTCACCTTTAATTTAAGAAATATGTGCTTATAAGATAAACCCGGGGTATATATATTAAACAAACGGTCCTATTCGGTAAAAACGTGAGAATGCAAAGCATTGTTGTAAATGATCATTGAAAATCAAAATAGCAACCAGAACATTAAACAACGAAGTAAATGATGAATAGATATTTCTTTCCTACACAGTTTTAATATGAAATAAATGAACCCTCGGAACACCACTTGAAACGTACATGAACATTTCATTAAGTCAATCAATATTCAGCTGGAGTTAATGTTGAAAAAAAAACACAACCAAACTAAATAATAACTAACTAACTAACCAACTAACCAACTAATTAACTAACAACAGGAGCAGTAATGATTTAAACATCGTAGTACTTATACACTTACTGTCAGTCAATTAGCCATTTCTACGATAAAGATCAAATCTAAATGTGTCTATAATTTAGTCTGGCGGATGGTGAAAAAACAAGAATAAAGATCAACAAGGCAAAGGCAACGTTCACAGGACGCGGCCCCGACACTTTTAAGAAACCTAGAGCGGACATAAGGGTGAAAGGAGTGGGACATGTAATGTGAAATAGTATCAAGTCATTTCTGCCGAGTGTTATCATTAGCATCAGAGCTTTAAATGTCAGATATACAAAATATCCAATCTTTTCCACCTCGATGTGAAATACTAATAAGAAATCAAGAGCAATTGTAAGTCCGTCCTTGAGTCATATCAGTGAATATTCAACGAGCGGTCGGCGTAGTAAATTCTTACTTGAAAAATCATGAATTTCAATACATTTTTATATACGAAAGGTCTATAATGATCTTCATTTTTTTAGAAACTGCAAAATACAGGCCAATACTTGCACAAATAAGATTAACTTATCATAAATTACAATAATGCAATAACGATGTATCAATTGTACATGTATAAGACGATGACAACGTTGAAAAAAACTTTGAAATTAGCTATTTTGTTGTATGCTGACGATACCATTCTTTTTGCAAAGACGGGAAAAGATTTTAATATCAGTGTTGAATACTTTTTCTAATTATAGAAAAACGTGGATGTTAAAAATAAACTTGGATAAAACAAGGGTCATGGTCCCCACTCAGAAGTATTTCTGTAGATAATAATGTTTTAGAAATTGTAGACACTTTTAAATAAATTGGTGTAATGTTTTCTAAAATAAAATAATTTTCAGTTGCAAAAATGCACATTATTGAACAAGCAAAACGAGCAATATGTATTTATTTATTGACTGGCAATTTAAGTTATTCGATCACACAAGTATGCCAATTTTTAACTGATGAATGTGAAGCTTTGGGTTATGTTGATTTATCACTTATAAAATAGTACATACATGTCAAGAAAAGTACACTGCATGTATTGGTTTATGTTGAGCATGGGCCCATTTACAATTACTATTAATAAAAATGTCTAATGCATTTTGTTTGCTCAAAACGAGAACTGAATATAAGCAAATACTTTTTATTTTCAAGGCAAATACCAAGACGGTGATCTGGAAAGTTGTTGAAAGGAGATATGATCTAGATATGAATAATGAGTCTGTTTCTTTACAGAAAACATTGTTCCTGGTGAATATCATTTTGTTATCTATATGTTATAAACCTTTATTATTTTTACACTTTTTTATTACAATCCGGCAGTCTGTCTCTGTTTCTCATAGCCGAACAAGAGTATATTTATACTTACTTTTTACAACGAGTATAATTACTTTGAAAGATAAAAATTGACATTATTATCGTCTATGGAAGCCAACTGAAATGAGTCTCTGTTGAAATAAAATCTGATATCATTGAAATCATAAAGGTGTTTAATGAATTAATGTGTTTTAGATGATGATAAAAATGTACAAATTAGTGTAAATAGCATAGTCCAATGTACCTAGTTATATCAAATATGCGAAATGATGATTTTTTTAAACAGACTTTATTGTCACTCATATACATTCAAGCGGTCATTTGGGCGATATTTGTTTTTGCCGACTGAATTATTTCATATTTTACAATGTTAGAATGAGTCAGAAACCTTACCAATGCATGTTCTTATGAATCACTAATACTTTTCTTATAATATCACAGTTCTTCAAAAGATGCCTTTTTTATTTAATTTATTCTGGAAAAACTTTTTTCATGCCTTAAACTGGTCAATACTTTTATACGACAATTTTACTTTCCTGCAAAATAGACTTTTCTCCAATTTAGAAACAAACATGCTACATTTGTTGCTTTAACTATTTTTAAGAAAGACCAAAATTCATGAATGAAAAATAGCATACAGTGTTGTATTGGTTTATACAAGAGTTGCATGAATTGTATTTCTTGATATGCATTGAGTTGGATAAGAGGTATCCCTCTGAATTTTGTGTTGACACTACATTGCTTTATACAGGTGACGTTCTGCTGCATTTCTTGTCTTCATACAGCCAAAATAAATGTTGTTTTTTTTTGTTGTTTTTTTACAGGAACCATTGTTTCCTCCACAATCTGAAATAGAAAGCAAATAATGTATGTTAGTAGGAAACCTTGTTCAACAGTTCCGTCATATCGAACAAGATAAAAAAATAACAATTAAAGTAGCACGCCTTCAGATTCCTTCTAATTTTTATGAAAATGTTGAAAATATTTTTAAAAGTAAAATATTATGAAGTGAACAAAGAAAATACTTTAAAGATTATGAATAGTCCTAACTGCGTTAGTAACGCAGTAGAAATAAGCTGATAAATACTGCAAAATCAGTCATTAATTGTACATAGCATGCACAATTTTACTTAAATCTTGAAGTTTTCACTTTTCTTAAACTTATATTATATTTTTCTCAAGTTTGATTTTCTTGAAATATTTAGGTTCATCTGGAGGCATGCAGCTTAAAAAAAGAAATATAAAATACAGGAAAAAAACAACAACAAAAAAAGATGAATGTTTCTCAAACTTTACTTTTGCTTCCCTTTTAATGGTGCAACCAATCATGTTTTATCTTAACACTGTTTGGCATTGACCTTACTTGAACCTCTTGTTATCATGATAAAATGTACTTCTATAAACAGAGGCAAATTCCTTATCTCTGGATAACAGACTTTTATGTATAAAACATGGATCAGGCGCAATGCAATATGGCTTGATAGAGATTTGAGCTTTTATTAATGTAAAAAGTACAAAGATTTCGTGTTCTAACATAATTATATCAAGTGATGCACTTAAAATGGAAAATTCTGCAAAATGTAATACAGAAATGTACTCAGAGTTAGATTGTAAAAAGGTTTTAGTTTGATTCTAAGCCCTGTTTCACTATTGGTCCATTTTGCAAAATAAGATAATCATGATTGATTAAAAGGAACGCAGACATGTTATAAGTCTAGACATATATGAAATGGTACACAAATCTCGAAAATATATTTCCAGTCCCTTCGTGTGGAGTCCCTTTAACGCATAGTTTCAATGAAACACAACTTTCTTACTATAATAAATACAGAGGAAACCGGATATTGTAATAAGATAAATGATATTGCCTTGCACAATTGTTTATCGGCATAAATCGTTCAGATACTTTCTACTAAATTTACTTCAATATATATCAGAGTCCTTGAAGTGTTCTTGTAAAATTTTTGTCTAAATGTTGAATAAAATGTTACTAGGTAATCTGAAACTATCCCCAGTTTGCAAATTGGAGGTCATTAATAAAAGGGTCAGACAAGACTTTTGAACCATCCTCGAAAACGGAAAATAAATTCATAGAGAAACAAAAGAACGTTGTGTACACAGATAAAACCAGACTGTACATCAGGCATGCAAGAATTTATGACATTGTTATCTATTATTATCTCGCAATATCTCATATAATTATGTATTTATCTGACACCTTACCACATTTTCTCGTACAATTACTTAATTCTCTACAATACTTAACTAAATGAGATAGAAAAATGATAATAAAAGGTCACTGTACTTGCTGGTTTGACTTTAAAACTGTAGAAAGAGCACAAATCCATAAAATATGCTATATTAATACAAGTAACGATTATAATATATTTTATTGTAGTTACATTTCTGAAAGTTAGCATTTACATGTGTATCATCTCTTTTCCTGCATAGTTTTAACTGCTTGTTTTCTTATTATGATTAATAGAGCAAATATTATAGTTTGTAATCGTATGTTACTCAATAGATTATTCTCATTTCGATAAAACATTAACAAATTGTCAAAATTGAAAGATGCCGAAAGTGAATTATTATTTAAGAGATATTACACATCTTTGAGGGCCTCATCGCACAATAGTAACCAATCAGTTGGAAGCAAACATTTAATGGACAAACACAGGAGACTGAGGTCCATGCAATATTTGTAACTGACTGGGAGGTTACTAGAATGATCCTCTGATGTCAGTCACACTGTAATACTTTGAACAGGTTCTTAAATTTGATTTTGATTTTCTAAATAAAACAATAACACGTACAGGCGTAAAGATTTATAAACAACAGTTACATAAGCCTTGGTACCCTTAATGAGTGATATTTTACAGATTTGCACACATTGTTTAAATAACACTTTTAAATACTGTAAGACATTTTTTATGTTTTTATATCAATTAAATAATGTTCAAATGAAGATTTATCAATATTGTTAGTTCCAAAAAGCATTATTTGTAAAGATATTACCAAATTTACATTTCATGGTAATAAAGGGAGGTAATTAGAAATTTATCTATCAGGTCTAAGCCATTTTTTTTCAATAAGAAATAAACGCATATATTTTAATGATTAAAGTAAGATAATATTTTGAAGACTTCGATGAAAATACGAATTATAGATAATGATTTAAAAAGAAAAACTTACAAACATTAC